GGCGGCGGCGCTGGCGCGGCGCAGCACGGCCTCGCTGGGTCAGTTCAGCCGCAAGCTGCCGCGCGACGCGCCGACCAAGGAGCGCGGCCGACGCCGCCAGTTCGGCCCGTCCGTGGGCGACACGCGCGGTGAAGTGCAGGGCCAGCTGGAGCTGCTGCAGACGCTGGGCCGGCGGCCGGCCGGCGGCGCCGTCGACGCCGAGAAGGCGGCCAACCGTGTCATCCATCAGGAGCAGCGCGAGTGAGTGTCGTGTGCTCGCAGCCGCAGCAGAGTTAGAGTTAGGGTTACAGTTAGGCAGCAGACCGGGCTTCGGTGTTCCGCCGAGATCGTTGCCTGTGCTGGGAGTTGGGATGTCAGACCATGCAGAGTCTGAGGTAGGCTGTTGCACTGGAGACAGCTGCAGGAGGCAGTTGTATTAGTTGGTGGTTCCCAGTTGTGTAAGGAATCTCAGAATGTGTTACAAAAACGAGGGACTGTTCACGAATTTGTGCATCTTTGTCGTGCTGTGACCAGCTGTACCTTGCCGTCAAATAATCCTTGTTCCCTTAGGCTATTTGGTTGCAACATCAGATTGGCATAATATTTTTTTATCGCGTGGCTGATGTGGTATGAAGATAAGATTGCGAAGCTCCAACTGCGTCACCGTGGGTGATTGTTCCCCTCCCTCCCGCAGACGGGCGGCCGGGAAAGCCGACGCCAAGCCAAAGAAGGGCAAGAAGAGATGGATTCCCAACACAAAGAAAGGAGAAAAGCAGAAAAAGGCGATCGCCAAGAAAGCCGGAAAGGGCAAAGCTGGGAAAGGAAAGAAGGGGAAAGGACGATAAGGTGTTGGTGTGCGGGGTATTTTCGGAGATCATGGTGTTCGTGGAAAGTGTTGTTGCAGTATGTGCTATTTCCCCGCCCCCGACCCCACCTCCCTGAGCACAGGGCGAGCGCCGTCGGCTGACGTGGCGTGGATGTTGACTGCGCTCCGCCGACCCGGGCTTATTCCACCGACCCGGCTGTGCTCCGAAGATCTGGCCGTGCTCCGAGGACCTAGCTGTGCCCCGAGGACCCGACCGTGCTTTGCGGACCCGGCTGTGCTCAGTGGATCTGGCATGCGGCGCGGTCGGCTTTATCGCCCATCCCTGACAATATCCTCAGGCCCCGGAAGGCGCGCGTGGTCGGAAGGGGGGCCACCAGCTGGAGGTGAGGATGGCCCGGCTGGCTGCTCGAGTTCAGGTTGGAGGAGAGCCATCAGCTGGGGAGGAGGGTCCGGCTGCCCGAGGTTAGGTCAGAGAGGGACCATCAGCTGGGGAGGAGGGCCCGGCTGCCCGAGGTTAGGTCGGAGGGCAGCCATCATCTGATGAGAAGGGCCTGGCTGCCCGAGTTGAGGTGAGCTGCGGCTGAAATACCTGGACTGGTGACGCTGCCAACGTTTGCCCCGCATGGTTTTGGCAGAGATGTAGATGGCGCCACATGTTGATCATGATCAGCTGGCCCTGCGCTGTTGTCCGGTTCGGCTTGTGAATACATCCATGAGTCTTAGCCATGTGTCGTGATGGAGGGTACGGGCGCGAGAATAGGGGACTGAAGCGACATGGTGCTGGACGGAATGCGTTTCAGATCTCACGTTGGCAGGTGTGCGTTCGTGGACGCACCTTTTAGTCGCGCTCTTTGCGGACCCAGGACGCATATGCCAAGCAGAGTGGGGCCTGGGGGACCGATTTCCCAACTCAATTTAAATTGACACTGGGCGCTGGTTGCTAAGAGGACGAATGGCCATGTTTTCCCCCTATTTTGGAGGATTTTCAACCGTTACCGCTAACGAGATCCTCCATCGGCTCCCACTTTCCTTGGAGGAATTTCACCAATCGACCTTGGCGGCCTCGTTCGTCTGTTAACAATCAAAGAAGTGCCGTTCGAAGAAAGCATGTCTATGAGCGTGCATCTCAATCTAAACCATTCGGGTACATGCGCGGGTGACTGACCTAGTTTAAGAAAAACCATTTCGTCGTCTTCAATCGGACTAGGTCGCCATTTTGGCTTGTGTGCGTATATCATTTTTTCGTCAAAGCTCGAGCCAGGGGTGCTCTCTTGGCTTCGATCCCCCCTCATTCGATACATTCGGCCGGCCGAATGGCGAATACAGCACGTACTGGCTACGGCCTGGCTGGTGTGGGATGGCTCTGGCACCTGGCATACCCTCCCGTAGTCCTCGTAAGGGAGCCCTGCCAACTGGCGAATACAGCACGTACTGCCCCGGCTTGGCTGGTGTGGGGTTTGCTCTGGCACCTGGCATACCCTCCCGTAGTCCTCGTAAGGGAGCCCTGCCGACTGGCGAATACAGCACGTACTGCCCCGGCTTGGCTGGTTTGGGGATCGCTCTGATAGCTGCCATGCCTTCCCGTAGTCCTCGTAAGGGAGCCCTGCCAACTGGCGAATACAGCACGTACTGGCCACGGCTTGGCTGGTTTGGGGATCGCTCTGATAGCTGCCATGCCTTCCCGTAGTCCTCGTAAGGGAGCCCTGCCAACTGGCGAATACAGCACGTACTGGCCACGGCTTGGCTGGTTTGGGGATCGCTCTGATAGCTGCCATGCCTTCCCGTAGTCCTCGTAAGGGAGCCCTGCCAACTGGCGAATACAGCACGTACTGCCCCGGCTTGGCTGGTGTGGGGTTTGCTCTGGCACCTGGCATACCCTCCCGTAGTCCTCGTAAGGGAGCCCTGCCGACTGGCGAATACAGCACGTACTGCCCCGGCTTGGCTGGTGTGGGGTTTGCTCTGGCACCTGGCATACCCTCCCGTAGTCCTCGTAAGGGAGCCCTGCCGAATGGCGAATACAGCACGTACTGCCCCGGCTTGGCTGGTGTGGGGTTTGCTCTGGCACCTGGCATACCTTCCCGTAGTCCTCGTAGGGGAGAGAGGGAAGCCGTCCTTTGCCTACAAAAATATATGTACAGATCAGACCTAAATCACAAAAATAATACACAGAGAGCGGCGTCGGTTCTTCCCCAATCGGCGTTCAAACGATGTTGCTATTTGTGAACAGCGTATATTTGTAGTTCAGCCCTGCTGATTTCACCCGTATTTGTAGTTCAGCCCTGCTGATTTCACCCGTATTTGTAGTTCAGCCCTGCTGATTTCACCCGTATTTGTAGTTCAGCCCTGCTGATTTCACCCGTGATTTCGAACTACTGAGACCCCAGTCATCACGGCTGTATCTTTACTGGTTTGGTCCGGTTTGGACCGGTTTGGTCGTGCGACAGGACGGAGACACGAAGCAGCACATTACGGAGGGTAACCCGGTCTCTCTAGCGATGCCCACATCCAGACACTGTGTGTGTGATGACGGTAGATACAAAACGCGTGTCGAGATATCTGTGCGTTCATTATGACGTCACAGCGGACAGTCTTCTACGTTCCTGAGCTGAACTATTGGGATGTCAAACACAGCGTAACAATCCCATCGTATTACATTTGATCGCACTGCTCTGATTTGTACACTGATCGATACGGCGAAGCTATGCCTCAATCGTCTCACGTCATATGGCACTCCAGCAAATCGCGCCCAAGATAATAAACGGCATGTGAACGGAACGGAAACGGGCTGAACGGAGCAACACGATGCCGTTTCGCTTTGAGGCTGGGTTTGGTGTCATAGTTGTACTTCAGTATCCAAATACGAAGGCAAGCGGTCTGTGGTATTCACAAAGATGCACGCTAGCATGTTCATTCGGTCTGAATCAGATATATCACGACGTGTTTTCGAGATCATACACGTACATAAAGCATACACCAGCGTGCGTAGACATGGTTTGCTTACAGACGAAGAACAGAAAGTGAAAATTGTTTATCTTTATATAATCAGCCAGCTTTTTCGTCATGCGTGAAGGAAATGAAAGTGCCTACATCCCATGATTCCAAAAACAATCAAGTTCGGGGGGGGGGGGGGGCAGCAAAGCATGACGTTTCCAACAAGCCGCCACACCTAAACATCATATTGCACATAATTGTATGTGTACACGGACCTCCTGTTTCGCGTTACATCTACCGCCGCAGGTATGCCCGCTCACAACTGGCGTGTGATCAGCACAGCCCTGGCCTCCATTCACCTCCCTTCACAAGCTAACCTCACCCTCAGGCCTATCATCACGTCTCACACGTGGCCACGTGACGCCCGGCACTAGGCCAACTGCAGCACAAGGTGTTCTGACAGGTGATGAAGAGATCGGCTGTGTTCGCTCAGCAGATATGTGGATGTCACCATGCTGCTGCAGGCAGCGTTCCCGCCATGTTTGGCGGCGCACTCGCAGCAGGCTGCTGCTGGTATTACCAGCGAGCTTTGACATGAGCCGACAGAAGCCGCTGAGGGGGAGCCGCTGGTGGGACTCTCCCTCTCGCCTCAGCCGACAGACACCGCTGAAGCGGTGCCGTGAAAAGATGAAAGGACGTCGCTGGGAACCTCTCACACGAGCGGCACCTGACATTAGAGGTGGGCGCCGCTGAAGGGGTGCCACCCTCTGCCACCCTCTCATATCAGCAGACAGACGCCGCTGAAGATGTGCCACCCTCTGCCACCCTCTCACATCAGCAGACAGACGCCGCTGAAGATGTGCCACCCTCTGCCACGCTCTCATATCAGCAGACAGACGCCGCTGAAGGGGTGCCAACTTCTGCCACCCTCTCACATCAGCAGACAGACGTCGCTGAAGAGGTGCCGCCCTCTGCCACCCTCTCATATCAGCAGACAGACGCCGCTGAAGGGGTACCACCTTCTGCCACCCTCTCACATCAGCAGACAGACGCCGCTGAAGCATATCAGCAGACAGACGTCGATGAAGGGGTGCAACCCTCTGCCACCCTCTAACATCAGCAGACAGACGTTGCTGAAGGGGTACGACCCTCAGCCACCCTCTCATATCAGCAGGCAGACGCCGCTGAAGGGGTGCCACCCTGTGCCACCCTCTAACATCAGCAGACAGACGCCGCTGAAGGGGTGCCACCCTGTGCCACCCTCTCACATCAGCAGACAGACGCCGCTGAGGGGGTGGCGCCGGTGCGGCACTATAACCAGAGGCCGCGATTTCGACTTGTACTGGATGTAGGCGGGTGCCACCGGGGCCAGCTCCACCGGCTCGCTCGGCTGCACCTCGTGCACGAAGTAGGTGGACATCATGCCCTTCCCCTTCACCGGGATCTGGCCGCGCCGCTCGAAGAAAAAGCGCGGGTTGGACCGCAGACACCTGGCGACAGCGGCTACCGCTGACCCGGTGTCGGCGGAGATGTCTGGACGGCGTCAGCCAGACGCGTCGGCGGACATGGCGCACGGATTATCGTGACAGAAGCAGGGCCATAACGGGACGCACTCTACATAGTCGGCGAATGGTGATGCATCATAACGATTAAGCAAATAATACAGAATTAAATCAAACCACAAAATTGTGATTTATTCCCAATTCTGCACGCAATCATGCCGGCACTGCGGATGAAGAAACTGACCGCGCTAACGTGCTGTGACTCTTGCCAGTACGGCTGACTCGCGTATACACGCCGTGGCTATATCCGCGGCAGCTGACTCACGTTTAGGTGCAGTGGCTGACTCACGCGCGGGTGCAGTGGCTGACTCACGTGTAGGTGCGGTGCTTGACTCACGTGTAGGTGCAGTGGCTGACTCACGTGTAGGTGAAGTGACTGACTCACGTGTAGATGCAGTGGATGACTCACGCGCAGGTGCAGTGGCTGACTCACGTGTAGATGCAGTGGCTGACTCACGTTTGGGTGCAGTGGCTGACTCACGTTCAGGTGCAGTGGCTGACTCACGTTCATGTGCAGTGGCTGACTCACGTGTAGATGCAGTGGTTGTCTCACTGAGGGTGCAGTGGCTGACTCACGTTCATGTGCAGTGACTGACTCACGTGTAGGTGCAGTGGCTGATGTGGACGTGACCGGACAGGCCGTGCGACTCCATGCGGGAGGCGGTGTTGACCGTGTCGCCGAAGAGACAGTAGCGCGGCATCTTGACGCCCACGATACCGGCCACCACCGGGCCCGTGTGCATGCCCACCCGGATCTGCGGCCGCGGACGGGCAGTTGGTGCACCGCGGCGCAGCGCCACGCCGCTCACGCTCGCGCGCCGGCAGAGACCGACCGCCGCTGGGCGTCGCCGGCCCGAGGGCGCGGCTTGGCTCCGCCTCTCCGGCTTCACAGGTCTGTCGAGGGGTCTGACGGGGCACTCACAGCAGGCACCTAGCTGGGGCAGGGAGGGAAGGAGGGGGAACGGTTGCGCCCTCTGAGGTTAAGACAAGATTTTGAGCGATTTCCCGAAAATTCGGTCCAACTTCGTAGGAGTTGGAACAAAATTTGATATTTGCCCCCCCCCCGCTCCGAGACAACTGTTGACTACGTGCTTGGCTCAGAATTCTATTAAAAGGTCTACGGAAGCTAAGAGTTAAGAACGGGGGTGACAAAAGATGTGACGTTTCCTTCGCTCACAGTGCACATGCTTGCGTCACATGCTTGTTGTACCACGTGTTCCACTTGTGAATTTGGACGAGGGATACTTGATTTAATGGACGCGATGCAGGTCGTAGGTCGCGAGCTTTTCCACGAAATATCACCGACGGCGGTGATCCCGCTGGCGCTCAGACGTCCTGGCGGCACTGGGATTCGAACCCCAGCCCTCAACGTAACAGCCCAAAACACGCGACACTCCACCTCCAACAATGTCACACGGGAATCATCTAACCACGTCGTCCTACTCACGCGCCCTCCCGCCCTCGCACCGCCTCCCGCCGCGGCTTACACGCACCTGCACCTGCTTGTCCGTGGTGGGGACTAGCACATGACCTGCGCCACGGATCATCTGGTGCGCCTGCGTGGCCACCAGGGCGGCGTGCTCGGAGTTCACCTCTGGACAGCCTCCCACCACCATGTACGCGTCACCAATGGTCTCCACCTGTCGGGGAGCAGGTCAGTTCACCACAGGACAGCACCGTGTACGTGGGTACGTGTCACATGTACGTGGCAGGGGGGCTAGTGCTGCAGCTAGAGGGGCGCCAAGGTCGTGCTTTGCCACCCTGTATATTCGACGAAAGCGTAAGGAAACCAACCCGTTTTGTTTCTGTTTAGAGCTGTCGTTATGAAATCGTGTTTTGGCCTTGCTTTAGTTCAGAAATATCTTACTTTTTACAGATATAGGTCATATCGCATGGCAGAAGTACGACACATTTACATATTTGCTGTGGAGAAGCATACGTGATCAACTGAACCGGCCTTCTAAGATGCTCGGGATTTGGTGGTCAATATTTGCAATTAACAAAAACCCATCAAAACCGGGGTCTCAGAAAGTTGAGTGAAAGTTTTCTCATGGTAACCAAAATGCCCAGTTACTTCGGAACAAGATATTCCTCAGGTTATGCGTTTTCTGCGAAGAAGGTAAAAAGGAAGTTGCGAACAACCAATATTTCGTACGGAATACTTTGTCAAGACGAAATTTATGCTGTTTCAGTCGGATATTGATGCACAAAACATACAGGCTTTTTTGCTATATTTGATGAAGGGTCAGAAGTTGTGAAACACCAAGATGGCGTGAGGCATTCACACAAGGAAAAGCGAGAATTACCGCATGAACGTAAGATAATTTCTTAACTTAACCTTATTTCATGTTTAACTTTGTTCTATCTTATAGTTTTTATAATAATACATTTCTTTATTGATTATCGTCGTTGCACCCTTTCTGAACGAACTGCACAAAAAGGCCTCCACGTGGACGATGACTCGGTTTGACACGCGCTCGGGTGAGGGTGAAATTGATCCCCCGAAGGTTTTTCCAAAATGGTTTCCGAACGGCGCGGCGAAGCCGCGCGAAATTTTGTACAGCTATAGACAATTGAATAGCAGGTCGTTTGAAATCACAAATTAAGATGTACCTTGTAAGGTCACTGACCTATGGCAGGTCAAAGTCAGGCCATGGTTTCAGCGAAGGCAATTTCTAGGGAATCCTTTAATTTGATCCAACAACAGAGTGTTAGATGAAGCCATACATCTCTGAGTTGCTTTCTTAGGCAACACAACAGTTGAATGAGCAAATTACCTTGACCTAAGTTCAGGTATGAAGGTCATACCAAGGTATAAACCAACCTGTCTTGTTACTCTACGGCTTGCCGTATGAGATAGTTTCTGGTGGTCATTTCGAGTTTATTGGTAGCAGAAACCGCATTACACATCTTCCATGGACTTCTTTGAGGCCAGAATAGATCATTGACCTAAAATTACCCAGGTCAGCATTTTGTTTTAGAAACATACTGCCTGGCGTAATCTTTGTCACTTAGTCAAATGCAAAACTCAAAGCAATCTGGTATGATTTTGTTCACCTTGACCTTAAAAAGGTCAAACAAGGTGATTGACCGTGAATGAAAATGTGGCCTTTTGCTTAGCAACGGTTATCTAGGTTCTGAGGGCACTTTGGAGACGGACCTGGAACTTGACCTTATTATTTGACCTTTTTAACCCGAAGGTCGCGACCTAGCACCCTGAAACTTTGACCTAAATGAGTTCACGTACAGGTCAACACACCCTGTAAATTTGGTGTCTCTACTAGCTTTCTTAGTTCCCGAGATCTCAGGGGGGTCAAATTGCCCCCCCCCCCCACCCCCCACCCGAGCGAAGGGTATCTAGCCGGCCACCCGGGCGCATGTTAAGAGCGAGTGTGTCGGGTAGCGTTAAGTGTCGACATGGCGCACGCGCATTCAGCTGCGCTACGCAGACCATGTGACCAGCGCGTCAGAGGTAGCACCATTAAAAACGTGATATGCAGAGCGGCAGTTGCACTGTAGGTATTCGCCCATATATTTGCGTTGCGCAAATCGCACCAATTTACAACTAGTGAAGATTAAACAGAAGTTGCTTCAACACAAATGCAATATCATATTTTTCTTATCATACTTGCCCATACGCTACGAAGGCGCTCGTTGCAATATCGTTTCTTTGACGCGTATTCTCTTGGGTCCTATTCCAATCCTGGCCGAGTCAAGTTTACCGGCGAAATTTGACAAGCCGTGGAGTGGGGTAGCTGATGTTAGATTAGCTTGGAACCTGACTGGCGATCAGGCAACGAAATGCGTCATTTTGACGCTGGAATAGTTGGTCTTAGAGTTATCAAGCAAGTCCTTAGCCTCTTTTATGATAATCGTCCAGCCTACCTCGTCGTCACCCATTAAACGGGCACCACAAAACTGCACGCTGGCTTAGCACTCACACTGCCGGGCCGGCTACTGACCTTATACACGTTGTTGTGCTCAGTCAGCTGATCGAAGTAGGTGTACAGCTGGTTGAGCAGCTGGACCACTTGGACAGGTGTGCAGCTGGCCGCAATCTGGGTGAAGGTCACGATGTCGCTGAAGAGGACTGCCGGCAGATGGGATGCGGTGGCGTGCTCTGAAGCGCGCTATTGTCAATGGAGGCTGGGTGGACAATGGAAAATTATGCCCGCGCAAAGAAAACTGGCAGCTCTCACTCAGACGAGGCACTTCCGGCAAAAACACTCCCCGGCCTCCAGTCTAGGGAGCCTGAACATATCACGATCCGTAAAGAAAGCTGCAGGCAGACGCTGGAGCATATTCTCCAGCATCGCCAACGCGCTGGCACTCAACGGAGGTTCGACACAGTAAAACGAATGGGAGCCACATATTATGGAAGCAGCCTTTAGCGTGCTGAAGCAGTGCCCCTAATGTCGCTGAACAACGGAGCATGGTGGCATGGAAGCACATGCCGAGAGCTGTCGGCAGGAGCGGAGAAATGGGTTGAAGCAGGGCTTTCTGATCCAAGCTTCACTAAGACCCGATACATGCCACCCCGTGATAGCTGTCAGCCGGCACGAGGTGCGTTCTGCTGAGACTCGCCACATGACACCCCGTGATGAGGACTGTCGACTGGCGCTGAGTATGGTCTGCTGAGGCTCGACACATGGCATCCCGTGATGAGGACTGTCGACTGGCGCTGAGTACGGTCCGCTGAGACTCGGCACATGGCATTCCGTGATGATAACTGTCGACTGGCGCTGAGTATGGTCCGCTGAGACTCGACACATGACATCCCGTGATGAGAACTGTCGACTGGCGCTGAGTATGGTCTGCTGAGACTTGACACATGACACCTCGTGATGAGAACTGTCGTCTGGCGTTGGGTATGGTCTGCTGAGGCTCGCCACATGACACCCCGTGATGAGAACTGTCGACTGGCGCTGAGTATGGTCTGCTGAGACTCGCCACATGACACCCCGTGATGAGGGCTGTCGACTGGCGCCGAATATGGTCTACTGAGACTCGCCACATGACACCCCGTGATGAGAACTGTCGACTGGCGTTGGGTACCTGTGTTCAGAAGCAGTGCTTGGAAGCCATTGTTTGATGGATACTGGACTCGTCGAATTACTCGTGGAAATTACACGTGAGCTAAATGCCAGAAGCGTCAGGGTATGTTTTCAGCAAGGTGCATTTCAGTCGGCTGAAGCTGATGCTGACACTTTCTGGTTTTTATCGGTTAAAAATGACATAAACTGGCAAAAACTCACCAAGCCAAAGCACGTCTCGATTTTCAGCTACCTTGGCATATTCTGATTACATCTTTTCCTGTCCAACCGAAATATCAGTAGCAGGACGCAGGTATAAAACGGTAAAACATGTCGCATATTTCCTATAATAGGTTTACAAATAAGTATTGGGGCGCATGAGCTAAGACCAATGGCCATGGATCGTAATTCGCAACTAATTCTTTCACAATCAGCTGTAATATGGTACCACCCGACCTGGACATATTAACATGGATTAATCACCTATTTGATGCCTGAAATTTTGCAGGTGAAGCAGGTAAGAGCTCCTAAGATTAAATGATGCTGCATTGTTGTCTGTCTTCATGCCTGGTACATTTTTAAAGTATAGTTTTAGGCTTGCTTTGCAATCTGGTATTTACATCGCGTATTTTTGTCACATTCATATCCGACAATGTTAGGGTGTGTAATGTTAGTTGGAACTGCTTTTGTGAGGTCCTTCCGCTTTATAAGGAAATTTAGCTAACGGGCTTTTCATGAGGGATGCTCGTCTATCATGAAAAGTACCGTTTGATAGCAATCGCTGACCACTTATCAACTGTTGGGCTCCTAATACTTAAATAAACGCCAAGTTTCATGAACATAAACAGTGGTCGGTTTCATCAATCTCCTTAACCGGGCAGGGGGTACTAAACGAGTGGTGTGGACGAGGGGGAGGCTAATGGTACCCCGTTGGAGGTGATGAGAAACTACTGTGGCTGACGTTCCAGGCCTTTTTTGGAGGCTCATGGTGCTCGCAAGAGCTCTAAAACATAAAAAGCGGAGCCCACGAGGCATCACGATAGTCCCGAGCTTAACGAGTCCTTCTGATCTCAAAAGCATTGCCCCTGTAGCAACTAAGAGGAGCCCTTGGCTTCAAGGACCGCCAACAGCTGAATGACCCACTCTTGGGCGGAGTCCTGGCCACGCCACTGGGACCTACAATGCTGTTGGCATCAGTAGTTAAGTCTACAGGATCACCGTGTACAGCGCGAGCTCTGACACGGGCCCGACCGACAACACCCTGGACCGACACTGCCAGACCGGCGCCAGGAGCGCCAGCTGACGACGCCGCCCCGCTGACTCGTCACTCACTCGTAACCTCATCGAACGTCTCCTGCACGGGCTCGTCACTCACTCGTAACCTCATCGAACGTCTCCTGCACGGGCTCGTTGCGCTTCAGCTTGACGGCCACCAGCGGAGGGATCATGGAGTGCAGCAGCTCGTCCGTGCGTCGCATCTCCTTCTGCAGCGCGGTCGCTGTGCCGGCCAGCTCCGAGGTCGTCTTTCTCCAGCTGCTGCCTGCCGTCGCCGGGGGGCGGGGGAGGAGCAGTTATGTGCAGCTGGTGCCAGTCGCCGCGCCAGCAGGCCGCTCGAATGGCCTGATGGTGAGGAGGGTGAGGAAGGGCTGTGTGTGTGTGTGTGTGTGTGTGTGTGTGTGTGTGTGTGTGTGTGTGTGTGTGTGTGTGTGTGTGTGTGTGTGTGTGTGTGTGTGTGTGTGTGTGTGTGCGTCATTGGGACTTTATTACGCACTCAGCTGCTGAGGCTTCATGGCGTCGCCTGCATCTCACCCTGGCAGACCGGTGGGCACCGCTGGGAACCAATGCCCGTACCTCTGGTTTCTCAGACGCGCAGTGGTTATAGGAAGGGCTATCTTCACGCGTATCTCACGTTTGTCAATGATGTGTTGTAGTGTTAAGAAACGCTCTGCTGCTGTGGGGAATTTCCTCTACGAGTGCTGGTGCTACCGCATCAGTCGCTTTGTTTTCACTGCCGTGAGTTGGTAATAGCTAAGATATATCTTTTAATCGGTCTTTAAGATGGTGAACAAAGCAGAGATCGTAACACGTGGGACCTGGCCGATGTGTGTATAAATACGCACCAGACCAACACACCGTGCATTGATCTAAACCCTATCATACAACCATACGATACAAAACCAACGTGACCAGCCTCAAGCATCCCCCCACCCAGATGTCCTGCTATCGCGTCGTGCATCGCACTGCATCGCCTTGTCTTCGGGGAGCGTGGTGTGCTACCCTCTTTTTCGGCCGGCGCCGGCTGTTGTCGGCCAGGCCCGGCGGAGGCGTCCACCTCTACTGACATGACGTCGAACTCGATGCCGCGCTGGTCCTTGAGCAGGATGAGATCGCGCGTAGAGTCGTTGGCTCGGGATGTCCGAGATCTTCAGTGCCATCCGCTCCAGGTCGCGCACACTGCGCGCCAGCGGCGAGCCCAGGTACAGGAACAGGGGGGCGTCGGTCAGCTCCAGCGGCGCCCCGTCCGAGGGCGGCAGCCATGCCCACGATGCTGCCTGCCGCCGGGCATGAACAGCGTGAGCTGGACCGCGGCGCAGTCAGCTGCTGAACCGTCACAATCAGCTGGTGAACCGTCACAATCAGCTGCTGAACTGTCACCAATCAGTTGCTAAAACCGTCACAAACCAGGTGCTGAACTGTTACAATCAGCTGCTGAACCGGTACAATCAGCTGCTGAACCGTTACAATCGGCATTTGAACCGTTACAAGCAGGTGTTGGGCCGTTACAACCAGCTGCTGAACCGTCACAATCAGCTGTTGAACGGTGTGCGGCATCTTACGCTTGTCGAAGGCACGGTGCTTTCGATTGCAGTGATCCCGATTCCAGTTCGACACTGCCTGCGCGCCCTACACAAGGCTGAAGCTCAACAACGGATAGAACATCAGACTTTCTCCTCTGTGTGCTGATTTGATCACGCACGTGGTAAATTTCAAGATGAGAAAGTTTATCTGTCCGTGATGATGACAAGGCCATCCGATTCCCCGACCTCTGGACGCGCAAGTTATAATCACCGGCCACCACACCTGAATAAACACGTGCTGATGATGTTAACTGAGCCATTCACCGACCTGAGCACCGCCCGTGGGTGAGCTCCAGGCACCGCCAGCGGTACACGGCATGCATCACAATGAACACCGAATCTGATCCGACACTACACCGCAGCGCCAGTCGCCGTTGTCCCACACAGAACATGCCCACACGAGGACGCCCAAAGCCGCCGCCCCCCCCCCCCCCCCCCCCCCCCCCGGGTCGGCAGCGCCTGCTGTCGCACCTTTCAGACAGAAAAAACCTCTTGCCGCTGCGCGTGACCTTGCGGTACTCCAGCTGGAACACGAGGTTGGAGAAGCGCTCGATGTTGGCCACCGAGAGCGTGACCTCGGGCCAGGTCATGCAGAAGACGTGGTCGAGCCGCGCGCCCTCCAGCTGCGTCTCTGGGATCTGCGCGCCGAGGCCGGCTCCCGTCTGCAGGATAGTCAGCCGTCTGCGGCAGACACCGCCGGCCGTGAGCGCCGGCGGCACACCGCCGTCGGCAGTGTGCGACTGGAGGATGGTGAGATGGGGGGGGGGGGAGGGGGAGGCGATGATAGGATGGGGTCTGGACTGTTCCAGGCGGGATGCAAAAGTTGAGGGCATGCCGCCATTCGCCCTGTCCGCCTCCCAGGCCGGCTATCCGCCCCTGGATGCCATCTTCAGACGATGGCTCTAGTTTTCCTGGAGCTGACTGTTTCCGAAGAACAGAAACTTCCTATCCCGACCTCCATCTGTCAGCGCAATCCATACTGCAGCATGGACTAATGCGTTAGTAGGGCTCCCATCCAGACTGTTAACATGGACTAGTGCGTTAGTAGCTCGCCTCCAGACTGTAACCATGGACTAGTGCGTTAGTAGGCTCGCATCCAGACTGTAGCATGGACTAGTGCGGTTAGATAGCTCCCATCACCATGACTGTTAGCCCTGGACTAGTGCGTTGGTAGCTCCCATCCAGACTGTAGCATGGACTAGTGCGTTAGTAGCTCCCATCCAGACTGTAGCATGGACTAGTGCGTTAGTAGCTCCCATCCAGACTGTGGCATGGACTAGTGCGTTAGTAGCTCGCGAATGACCCAGAACGCATCTGAGAAAATGCGGATGCCAGACAGATGCAAAAGTTTGTACCGAATCTTTGGAAGGGACCTGAATCAGGGTTTATAAAAAGATGCATAAATTCCTTCAAAGACCTTCCTTCAAAAGACCTTTAAAAGACCAACAGAGAGTATCTGGGATCTATCCAAATGTTTGGTAGGATCCCTCTGGATCCGAGGGTTAGCATCTTTTAAAAGCAGATGAAATGCAAGACTCGCGAATTCGTGTCACATTCATCACATCACCTAAACTAGTGCAGTGCCTGACATATGTGGAGAATGCAGAACAGGCTCATGACTCAACGAACGCGCTCATCATGGCTCTCCGGCAGCCTGCTACTAGCACGCCATCGGGTGGAAAAATTTGAGAATTTGAAAAAGAAATTTGAGAATTTTGAGAACTTGTGAATTTGACTCCCGAAGGCCTTTTCAAGGTAGCTTTCGAGCAACGCGGAACAGCCACGCTAAACTTTGGAAAGCTGTGTAAGTCTTTTGGAATAACAAAATTCGGTGCAACTTGTAAGGTCGCTGACCTTTTGTGGGTCAAAGTTCCGTTATGGTTGCCAGTGAACCTAAAGAATTGTTCATGTGATGCGGGCAACGGAGTGCAGACGTAGTCATACGACTTTAACATAGTTTCTCAGACAATTGGGCTATTGGACTTTGGATTACGACCAGTTCCATTTCTTTGGGTCACGTGTGAAGGTGAGACCAAGATCAAAACCAATGTGCTTTTTGCTGGTTAGCATCCTTCACGGGGCGGTGCTTACATCCATTTTGAATTTATTCATCACAACAAACGCCAACACATGTGTTATTTGACTTCATGAAGGTCACGGGAGGTTAATGACCTAAATGCCCACCAATCTCTTGCTTTTGAGGAGCACGCTTCCCATGATAGTAATAAGTGCCGTTTGTAAATTCAAATTTGAAAAAATCTCTAAATTTTTTAGCCAATTTCACCTTCCACCAATCAATTAGGTCACGGACCTGATATTCATACCAGTGGTACTTTGTTTATAAGACGCACCGAACTTGGCTGTGTGAGCAGATCTGAGAGCACCGCGGACACTGATTTGGAGCTTAATCTTGCTGGACCTTTTCGACCCGAAGGTCATCGCCTAGGGCCCTCAAAGTTTGACTTGAATGAGTTAGCATAGAGCTCTATCTACCCTCGGAATCTGGTGTTTCTAGCTTTCTCGATTTTTGAAATCTCTTGGGAGATCTTCGGGTGGATGTGGATCGGATTGAACCCCACCCACTCAAGGAGTGTCACAAGAACTGGGCACCCCGGGCGCGTGATAAAACTGACGCCGTCACCTGATTTTGGCGCACAATGCGTGCTAACCTGCGAGCCAAACCACAGGTACGTGCATCCCAAATGACGCAAACTAACAGACCAGGCCCTCGGACTAATGTCAGGATGCGGATTTGGCCCGCCAGTCGCTAGATTGAACCGTAGCTGTGTGGCACAAACTCCTGCATGGTCCTGGTCCTGATCCTGGTCTTGCATAGTCCTGGCCCTGGTCCTGGTCCGGAATGGTCCAGAATCCTCCTGCTGTTGATCACCTTTGTGCAACATAACCTTCTTGACGTTCTTCATGCAGCAAAGTGCGAGTTCTTGTCTTTGACCTCATCATGCAGCTGTCGGTAAGCTTCAAAGCGTTCGAAGCTTCTAATGGGTGACTCCAGGCGCGACGAAAAAAGCCGCGTTAGCCTCTGTCATGCAAGGATGTTTCTCTGTCAGATGCGTGCCTTAGAAACCATGTCGCTGCCTTTCCGGGGAAGCTGTCTGCTGACTTGGGCGTCTCTCCCATGCAGTCTGCAGACCATACGCAGTGGTCGCTGGTTCCCGCAACAGCACCATCACCGCAGCGGCTGTGGTGATGGTACGGTACGTATGGTATGGATGGTACGGTCTTCAGGATGGTACGGCTGCCGTGTCATCCCTGCAAACCGGACGGGGATTCCTTCGACTTTTCACGCCGCCCACTCCCTGCGCGATGGGGTTCTCTCTCCTGCTGAGTGGCAGCCGCGCCGTCACTCGGTCGACACACGACGAGCGATGCTCGTCACAGAGTCACAGTTCCAAATATCACCGCGAGCGTCACGAGAAATGGTGACCGATCGTAGGAATCGGGCATCATCTGGCAACTGGCATCATCTGGTATCTGGTATCATCCGGTATCTGGTAGCATCTGACATCTGCTATCATTAGACATATGAAGGCATCTGGTATTTGGTATCATCTGACATCTGATATCACCTGGCATGTGGAATCATCCGGTATGCGATATCGTCTGTCATCTGGCATCATCCTGGCATCTGACGTCATGTCACTGGCATCACTGAACGCTGGAGTGCAAAGTCAGTCATGCTGACTGGCAATGCCGATGAGCCGTCGCCCCGCCCGCTGGGTCCGATGTCATCCTCGCATCAGTGGCGGCACCTGAGCCTGCAGCCGCAGCTGACTCTGCTGGTGAGACACTGACGACGACGGGGACGCCTCAGTGCCGGGCACCCGGGCCTGGAGCGCGCGCAGGAGGCGTGACACCCGGCTCCGGCGCCGGCCTCAGGCGGGAAGCGGTCCCCCTGCGGCGCGCCAGTTGTGTGTTCGGCTCCAATGTCCGAGCTGGTGGAAGGGGGGGGGGGGGCAGCTCGACGGAGGCAGCTCCGGCTGCTGCGTGGGAGCGCGCTCAGCGGCAGGAGACAGCAGAGCTGGTGTGGGGCAGTCGGCCGCAGTGATCTTAGCCGACGATCTCAGCCGCGGCGTTCTCAGCGTTATCTGCCAGACGCCGTGCGTCAGACTGCCGTCGATGTACACGTGGTCGTCTTTCACATCAAGACCCAACGCGGAATGCCTGGCTTGTGGTGCTTTGACCAGCGCCACGCCAGGCCAAAGCAGACCGACAGCTCGTAGTGATGAACCAGCACCAAACCAGGCCAAAGCAGCAGACCGACAGTCGTAGTGATGTAACCAGCACCGACCAGACCAAAGCAGACCGACAGCTCGTAGTGATGTGACCAGCACCAACCAGGCCAAAGCAGACCGACAGCTCGTAGTGATGTGACCAGCACCAGACCAGGCCAAAGCAGACCGTTCGCAGTGACGTGGCCACATCAGACCAAAGCAGACCGACAGTCAGCACCAGACTAGCCAAAGCAGACCAACAACCCGTTGTTACGTGACCAGCACCAGACCCAGGCCAAAGCAGACCGACAGTTCGTAGTGATGTGACCAGCACCAAACCAGGCCAAAGCAGACCGACAGCTCGTAGTGTGTGACCAGCACCAGACCAGGCCAAAGCAGACCGACAGCTCGTAGTGATGTGACCAACCAGACCAGGCCAAGCAGAGCGACAGCTCGTAGTGACGTGACCAACAACAGGCCGACCAAAGCAGACCCGGCATTCGCAGAGACGTGGCCAGCATCAGACCAAAAGCAGACCGACAGCTCAGCACCAGACCGGCCAAAGCAGACCAACAACCCGTTGTTACGTGACCAGCCAACCAGACCAGGCCAAAGCAGACCGACAGTTCGTAGTGATGTGACCAGCACCAAACCAGGCCAAAGCAGACCGACAGCTCGTAGTGATGTGACCAGCACCAGACCAGGCCAAAGCAGACCGACAGTTCGTAGTGGACGTGACCAGCACCAGATGCCAACACGATCCACCTGGCCCAGCGACACCCGAGGCGATGTGGAGAGGATGGCTGCTGAGGTATCTGCGGATGTGGTTCTTGCTGACGATAATCTCTCCTCTTCACATCATACAAAAAATCACACGCCAGGATCGGTCTGTTTAGGACGCGCCTCGGGTTACGACACCCCAGTCGCTCCGAGCGCCCGAGCCTCGCTCAGCTGCCGGTCAATTATTCTGGGAGCCAGCGCACCGACAGCTGCCTTCGCCGGCCACGGGCGCTGTGATACTGCGGTAGACTTGGAATACATCTCTCGGCCCTGTCGGACGTCTCCCTGTTGTTCCTCGCCGACAGTGGTGGCAGTGGCGGTTGAGGGGACCTGTGCCCCTCAAGACAGACTCAAGCCTCTCCGCGGCAGTGATATAGCAGTCTGGAATGTCCGTTCTCCGTGACATAAGCCAAGCCATCGGTACGGGCGCTGAGTTCTCTGGACTTGGCATCGTCCGGCAGGATCGTTCCTGTGCTTAGTGCCGCACATCACCTGTCCGAGAGCTAACTCATCAGCTGCACTGGACTGCAACGGAGCCTGCCGACATGACACGACCGGCCAGGCTGTGCCGAGTGTGGTTTACTCCAACCATCGAGTGATATCTGCCATCAGGGTCAAGAAAACTGCCATGAACTTTATCAGCTTCTGCTCTGTTAAAACTGACGCGAT